AGACAAAGTATATGTGAACTGCTGTATGAAAAGTGAATTTACTCTGTAAATCTTCACCCAAATCCTAATAAAAAAAAAAAAAAAAAAACCTATTTGTGTCTAAAGGCTGTGCTCTTCAATGTTACCTTATTCAAACTCCAAGATCATATCAACTTCCTGAGTCTCCAGAATTTAGATGAAAGTTAATTCACCATATCTAAGGAATAAACTATCTCTCCTTCCAACAATGATTCTATGTTACCAGAAATAGAACTCAGTTCAGAATTCATATAATACTTGTGAGAGTATACCCTAGGCCTAAGGAGAAAGCTATCAAGAGATGTGCTGCTAATAAAAGAAAAGGAAAAAGAATAAAAAGAGGCAGAAGAGGTATAGCCATAGGCCCATCAAGGGGCCCAAACACAACTACATTTTATCAAGCATCAGGGCCAATGTGACAAAAATGGAAAAGGGGAAACTAGAATAGGAACTGAAAACAGTAAAGTAAGGGATGTAGAAATAGCTTAGCCCATTGATATAATGGCCTCACAGCAGACAAGGAAATAGCTGTGGGAAAGCTCTGGCAGTAATCAGTGGCCATGAGCTGAATTTACAACACTGGACCAAGATGCAGAGTTGTAACATAAGCATTAATCACTAATTAATGGGAATACTTATTAATAGGTGCAGATGAGTGACCACTGTAGAAGAGGAATTACCACAATTGTCACATGTTTGGATTAATCTGAAATATATAACCACCGTGTAGAGAACACAGTTTTAGGGCAGAGTGATGAAGAAACTAGTACCTACCATATTCCAGGTGAGTGTGCTTTTATATGTTACCATATTTAACCCTCATAACAACCTTGGTAGATATTGATCCCTACTATACCATTGAGAAAAATGGTGGTTTGAAAGGAGTTATGTTCCTTCCACACTATATCATAAGGTAAAATACCCTCAGGATTCACTTTCTCACCTGAAAAGGGTGATAGGAGGGAGGGAATGAGATGTAGTAAAACACTGTAACTACATTCCTTCCATACACCCCAGAGAGCCTGTTACAACACTGACATCACACATGTATCCACAACTTTGATGTGTCCAAGTGACGTGCTATCCTTTCTTTGGTCTCCTGATTCAGTTATTTCAGGTAAAAGAAATAAATATGCCTACTAAATCAACAACTGAAGACTTTGAGGAGGAAGAATAACTTGTAAAGAATGGAAGCAAAAGAAAGAAAAAATGGCTTGTGTCAATTAAATGACAGCTGCCTTCGTTTTGTTTAGGTTTCCTTTGGATAGTTATTCATTCACTTAAAAAAAACTATAATTTTTATGGGCTCTGGTAGATACTGAAGAGTGCAATGTAGCTGAAGGGACACAAACAAAACAGTAAGTGTGAAGGTAAAAATAGATCATTTATATTGTCCTAAAGAAGTCAAGAAGGCTTTACAGAGGAAGTGGCATTTGAGCTGGGGATAGAAGTATGAATGTATCAAATTGAGAAAAGAAATAGTATTCTGGGCAGAATTTCTGACAAAGTAAAATTCACTTGGGTGTTTTTTCTATTTTGTGAAAAGTGTATGCGAATGGAGGTGGAGATGGGGATTTGTGGATATGAAGCTGAACAGGCCAGCTGGGGTCATGTGGTAAGGAACAATGGATTCCATGCCAAGGAGTTTTGGCCTTCACCCTACAAGCAACCAGAGTTATTAAGGATTTGTAAGCAGGGGAAGGAAGGGCCATAGGTAAGTCTCTTTAACAAGACCATTCAAGGAATCTAGAGGCATACAAGGACAGCCAGGATTAGCTCAGTCAGCTTGACAGACATAACTGCAGATAGAGAAGGTTATAAAACTTGACAAAAATTAAACCTCAAACAAAAACTAACTCTAACTAAGTTTACTTTAAAAGCCATGTGCTCTAACTAAATATGTGTACACACACACACACACACATCTGACTAAAGCAGAGAGCTCTGGCTGAAAAAGGCCAGGGAGAATATGGATACTAGAGCACCCTATTTGGCTAACTTGGCCTCCACTTTAGCCTTCACCCAGCATCCCTCTAACACAGCTCCCCAAAGAGCCCTTGATTTTATGAAACACACTGGTGTGAGTCTAAATCTTTCCATTTATAAATACAGAAATTGTGACCAGGAGAGTTAGGTGAGTTATCTGAGGAAAAGACTTCTGTTTCCTGGTGCCTCTGCTGAAATTAAACAAAATTCTCTTCCTCACAAATGCTAATTCAAACTTCTGTGTTAAAATTGTTTCCTTAAACCTTAGGGGGCAGTGAATTTATGTTAATGGTGTTGGAAAAACTCAGCAAAGGAGGATGAGAACGGTTGCAGAACTCAAAAGAATATGATGAATGTTACTAAATTGTACATATAAAAACTGTTGAATTGATGTATGCTTCTCTATGTATATTCTCAACAACAAAAACAAAATAAATAAAATTTAGGGGGGGAAATGGTTCCTTATAAGTTGTTTGAGAAGTTCATGCCATCCTTCTATCCCAAATTTCTAGTTGAAATTCACATAGGGCAGTAGCCATGCATTTTATAAGTGCCCGCTCAAGGCCAGATACTCTGCTGGGGATATTTTATTTGCTCTTATTTAACCATCATAGCAATTGAGATCAAGAAACTGGGCTCAGAGGGACCCTGCCCAAGGTCACATAATTCATCCAACTGTGGTGGAGTCCATGCTGACTCTGACCCTGTAGGACAGAGCAGAAGTGCCCCAGTGGGTTTCCAAGTCTGTAATCTTTACAGAAGCAAACTACCAGCAGAGTTGCTGGTTGGTACCAATGGAGACCTTTCAGTTAGCAACTGAGCACTTAACCACTGTACTACCAGGGCTCCTTGGTCACACAGCTAGCAGGGTGGAATTCTGGTCTGGTTCCTAAATACAAGACTTTGACTCTCTCTCTCACTCTTTCTAATCCCAAACTTTCCCAAATCTGCCTATGTCTACACAGGCACAAGAAATGCAGAACTTCAAGGAATCTTGTCATTTCACAAAGGATCTACTTTCACAGCCAAGCTTGATGGGAAATACCCTATCTTGCAGCCAAGCACAAACCTCTAACCTCAATGTTCAAAACCTTAGAAACACTAACCACCATGCACCCCCACCACTAAACCTTTGCAAGCATTTAAAAAAAAAAAAAAAAAAAAAAATTCAGTAGTTCAGAGAATAAAGAAGGTCAAATACTCTTAATAAAAGGCCTGCAAAATTACCTTTGAGGTGAGCAGACTGGCACTTAAGGATTGGGTAGGTATTTGATATTATCTAATAGGTAAAGTTTACTAGAATTCGTATTTATGGGCTGCCTTGGGACAAAAGGCACTCTTGTGTATTAATGTTTAACCGCATTTGGCTGCTGACCAAAACATCACCCAGCCATTTGGCAGAAGATGAAGCAGTCTGCTTCCATAAAGATTTACAGCCTTGGAAACCCTATAGGGCAGTTCTACTCTGTCCTTTAGGGTCTCTAAGGAGTTCTGGTGGTGTAGTGCCTAAGGCATTTGACTACTAACCTGGTTGGCGGTTCAAATCTACCAGCTATTCCGCGGAAAGACGACTGGGTAATCGACTTCCCTAAAGATTTGCCGCCTTGGAAACCCAAAGGGGGTCACTATGAGTCAGAATCGACTCTATGGCAGTGAATTTGGTGTATATATATGTGTGTGTGTATGTATATATATGTCAGAATTGATTCAATAGGCAGTGAGTGGGTTTGAGACAAAACATGACTGTCACTTTGGAATAAGGGCCATTGTTGGCATTAAATAATTTCAATGGGGCGGTTGTTTAAGGGAGTTGGGACTGGGGCATCTTTTGGGAGCAAGGAGAGTTGAGGTGATGGTCATGATTAATTACAGAACAGGCTGAGCCAAAAGTGTGGAGCCAGGGACTGATATTAAGTTATTGGTAACGAAAGGAATGATTTTAAACAGAACTGAGACGTGGGGCCATCCTCTGGAAAGTGTGTCCAAAGGCCTGGCAGGTGCTAGGCATCAGGAGGAATGAATTTCGAGAGGCAGGCTAGGGCGAGGGTTAGGAGGCAGGATTTGGGAAATCCGGAGCTGGGCTGCGGCGCCAGGCAGCGCAAGAGTAACGGGTTGATACACAGGCTCTACGGGGCTTAGGTCTGGGCGGTTGAACCCAGAGCAGCGAAGCCCCAGCTACTCCCCTCCCTCGATCCTCCTAGCCCGCTTACCTTCTGTTTGAAGTAGAAAATCGAGTAGTTCCTGGCTATAGAGGGGCGGGATGTGGGTCGGGCTGGTAAGTGAAGGCTACCGAGGGACATCAGGGCTGGCGATCTCGGGATGGCGGCCCCGGGCGCCAGGTGAGGCAGAAGCAGAAGCAGGAGCAGAAGCTCCATGTCTCAGGAGGGCGTCTGCTACGCGGGTGGCAGAGTCGGAGCCGAGCGAGCCGACTCGCGCAACCGGAGCCTGGCTCTGCCCTAAGCTCCTCCCGCCACGGTCCGGCTCCTCCCCAGAGAAACTAAAAGTCATTTTGCCACTCAGCGCTGCCGACTTAATTTAACTCAGGTCACCCTACCCACGCAGCCCCAGACTCCGAAGGCACCACTTCCACTCTACACTTCCCCTCTTGCCATCCACTCCTCAGAGCCACCCAACAAGTCTGTGCTCCTATCACTCCAGAGACACCTCTTTCCTCATTGTCTTATCCTATCCTTACCTACTTCTCCCACCAAACTCACATCTCGGCCGGAACACCTCATATCCCTCTCACAGTCAAACCCTGCCCTGGACACCTCAATTCTATTGTCACACCCTCTCCGCAAATCTCAAGTAAAGATCATAGCTGCCGTGACAATTCTTTGATCGTTCACTACATGCCATTCATTGTAACACTAGGTATGATGACACACACGTCTCATCTCAGTCATCACAGCAATCTTGAGAGACATGTACGATTGTTACTACCATTTATACATGAGAAAATTGAGGCTCGGAGAGGCAGCGACTTGCACTGGTCACTCTGATAACAAGTAGAACCTGGTTTCACAGGCCGCTCAGTCTGGCTCCTTCCACCCCACCTCTTTGCCATCCTAACCATCCATTATGGTACCCGATCCCTGAGTTATCCCAATCGTGTTGCCCGCTCAACTCATCCCTTCCGGAAGTCACTCCCGGCTCGAATCATCCCTTCATCCAGGTAAGGCCCCTTCTACTTTGGAGTAGTCGGCTCCAGGCCCGGCCTTCCTCCCTTCCCCGGGCTGAGTTATTCCTCTGAAACAGCGCCCCCTTCCGTCTTCACGATTCTGCCAACTCTCTTCACTCAGCTTCCATTCCCCTTTCCAATCACCCCACGGGACCCCAGTCCGCTCCCACTCCTTCTCGGGCCTACGCGGCGCAGGGATACTCCAACACCAACTTTACAGACTGCACTACTGCTCCACTAGTCAGGGAAGAACATTCCTCAAGCCACTGTCCCTACCCCCACTTTAACAAAAATGGTCTCTCCCAAATGCTCGCAGGATTTCGTTGCTACACTTCGCCCGGTAGCGCCTTCTTCTGATTGGTTCTAAATCACGTGGTTCTGACTACAGCAAATACGTCACTTCTGTCGGAAGAGGAGGCGGGAGATTCAATTGAAGGAGTCTGTCGAGCAGCTGAGTCCTGCTGGCTTGCGTCCCGAGCGGACCTGAGAGTTGCTTGGACTGAGTCCCATTCCAGTGCCCCAGGTGAGGAACTGGGAGAAGAGGTTTTCAGGGAGCTCAAGGGTTGGACACCTCTAACGAGGTCCTTAACGTCGGTATGAATGAGACTCAGGGACCCGCCCTTTATTTTCAAATTTTCAGTACTGTCTTCTCTGTAAAAGGGCAACGATGAGGGTAGAAGAATAAAAAGGTTGGCCATTTAATGTAGACACTGCTGTGGCAATCACTCACCGCATGTTTATTGAACACTTACTGTGCCAACGTAGCAAACACAGATTGAGCGTTCAAAACCATAAATACAGAGAGCAACAGGGGAGACTGCCGCTTTTGAGACGGGCAGGCTTATATTCAACTGGCTGCTATGTGGAGTACTGTCTGTGCTGGAAGAGGAAATTTTACAAACTGCTTTGATGGTTCAGAAGGAAAAGTGGTTAACTGAGCGGTGTGCTTAAACCAGAAACTTTAAAGTTTCTAGGTATCACCCTCATGATCTCCCACATTCAGCCAGTCCTTATCAGCCTCTTGAATATATCGGATCTGTTCGCTTCAGATTTTTACTGTCATTAGTTTGATTCATCATCACTAAGCTGTGACAGTAACCTCCCAGCTGGTTCTCTGCCTTCAATTCTGTTCTTTCCAATCCAGTCTTCACACCGTTGGCTGATAAAATGCAAATCTGACCAAGACACTCTTCACTTAAAACCTTTCAGTCACTCTTGTTTACTCTCCGGTCTAAGTCAAAATTCCTTAACAAGGCCCTTCTTGTCTGTCCTTTACCTCCGTCACCAGCTTTGTTTTCCACCAGTCTAGCCCTAGGCTTCAGCCATACAGAGTGTCTTTTAAGTCCCTCAAATCCATCCTCCAGACCTCTCCTAGCCTCACTCCCTACCTAACAAATTCTTAATCATTCCTTAGGTCTGTTTACAAAGTCTTAAGCTTTTTGTTTACAGAATCTTAGGCTAAAATTGGGTCAGAAAGTACCCAGTACTTATTTGTTCATTTGTTCATAGTTTTTAAGTACCTGTCTCCTCTGCCAGAACTGCTAAGTATTAGGGATACAGTAGTGAACAACTAGATAGATTCCTGGCCTAATGGAAGTTACCTTTATGGATGGAGATAAGAAGAATAAAGGGAAACTTACTTGAGTTAGGTGGGTGTGGGAAAACCTCTGAGGAGTTGACATTTAAATTAAGACCTAAAATATGAAAATGGTCCAGCCATTCAAGAGAGGAAAGAACATTCCAAAACAGAGTGAACAGAATGTGCAAAAGGCCCTGAGTCACCAAATGGACTGAGTCAGGAAAGAGCTAGGTATCTCAGTGTTCAAGAACCTAAGACAAAAACAGAGATACTGGTCTTTTACAGTCAGACAATTGTATGAGATAAGTCCAGAGAGATGGACCAGATGATGCAGCAGCGTAAACAAAAGAGAATGGTGATCTGAATTAGGTGGTGGTAGAATATGTGGGGGTAGTGAATAACGGTTGCTTTGTTGTTGTTTTTGTTGTTGTTATGTGCCGGCAAGTCGATTGCTAAATATGGAAATAGACTTACTTACAGATGTGATGTGGGATGAGGGGGCCTTATATTCAACTGGCTATATTCTTTCCCTTAAGGAATGAAGGATGATTCCTAAGTATCTGACCTGGTGGCGCAGTGCTAAGGTATTTGACTGCTAACCAGAAAGTAGCTGGTCAAACTCACAAGCTGCTTCACCGAAGAAAGATGAGGCAATCTACTTCCGTAAAGATTTAGCACCTTGGAAACCCAATGAGGGTCACTGTGAGTCAGAAACAACTTGATGGCAGTGGGTTTTGTTTTTGGTTTGGCCTGAATCACTAGTTGGACAGTAATGCCATTTACTGAAATGGAGGAAATTGAAGGGGAAGAGGTTTGGGAAGAAATTACAAATCTTTATATAATAGGTTTTTTACCTATTAAAACTTGAGATCTTTATGAGATAGACAGGCAATTGGTATATTCAAAGTTGGAACTGACGGTTGAGGTCAGGCAGGGCCCAAGAGGTAATTTAGAAGGCACCATTCCAAAAGGATATTTAAAGTCATGGTAATTAATGGTTGAGAGCTCTTAGGGAGAGAATGTGAAAAAGGAAAGAAGGCTCAGTGGAGAAAGAGCCAATGAAGGAGCCTGAGGAAGCCAGTGCGGTAAAAGAGTGTTTCTTCATAGCAGAGTTTACTGCTATTGCCTGGTTAGTAGTCTGTCTTTCTCACAAAGCTGTAAGACCATTGGGGGTAGTAGAGACTGTGTTTTATTCCCTGTTTTATCACTAGTGCCTGACATAGTATATACTCAATAAATACTTCTTTCTGAATTGTTGAGGTATTAAACTGTGGGATAGTCCAACTGAGAGAGTTGCTTTGGGTTTGACCAGCTGCAAAGATGGTGGGAAAGGAAAGGACACATCTCAGTAATATTTCTGGAAGTAGAATCAAAACCAAAAGATTGAGTAGTAAGACCTGCTTTTAAGGCAGAACGTGCAAAAATGCTTGAGCCTTTAGTACCTTTCCTATAACTGTTTGTACCTTTGTTATCACTTCACTGATAGTTGTACATTGTCTGCCTGAGCCAGTAAATTATAAACTCCTCCAACATAAGAGGCAGTTTTTTCTTTCTTTGTAACTCTGTTTCCTTCCCCATCACTAGCACACTAGCATTTCATTAATGCTCATGCATGGTAGAGTAAATGGACAAATTGTATGTTGTACTCACCAAGATTTACCTGGGTAATATTTTAAGTATTTTTCATCAATATTTCTCCTTTCACTGCAAGTTTTGCCTCTGTGTTTTTGTTTATTTCATTTTCTGTTTCTAAGATTTTCGTATTAGTATCAGTAAATTACTTCTTAGGGATTTGTTTCGACTGACTGGAAAAATTAGACAAAGTATGCACCCTTGGAGGAGACCATTAGACGATGTTAAGAAAACAATTCAAAAAGCCTCTCTTCCCATAGCTGAGGCCTCTTGGCCTATATAATATGAAGTAAGAATCTGAGAGTAACAGCTGACAAAGATTTTCCTGTAACGCAAGAATAGTTTTGAGAGGAATGAAGGAAGGGAGAAAAGTTATTTGCACCTTCTTTTCCTTTTGTCGGTAGAACTGGAAACTAGTTTTTTTTAAAGGAGGAATTTTATCTTTTGGCTACAGACTTGTAAGAAATGCAAATAGTTTTTTAAGCATGGAATTTGAACAGTTACAAAAGCTACTAAAGAGAGGGCATGAGTTCCAGACCTGAATCTACCTGTTTTGTGGCCTTTAATTAGTCATTTCCTTTCTCTGAGTAGCTTAGATAATGATGTAAAAAGCACTTTGGGAACTGTAAACTATTAAAGAAAATATGACTCCAACTGGATTTAAGTAAAACAAATAATAATGTAAAAGTAATTTGAGAACTATAAAGCATTAAAAAGAAATTCTGATCCCAAATGGATTATAAATGTCTTCAAGATAAGACTTACATCTTATACTATCTTTATCTTTTCTTAATCTTCTCCCCACCACCATCCTCATATGCTAGTTCACACTAAATACTTAACTGAATTTTCTTCTCCATAACCCAACATTTAATAGTAGTTATTCCAGAGTTTTCAATCTAACCTAAAGGAAAACAATAAAAACCTCTGTTAGTGTGTGTACATGTATGGACATGCCACTTAGACACTAGTAAGGTGTCTTC